TCCTCCTCCAGGTGCACAGCAGCCAGTTGTCTGAAACTGCTGCTAATGTGCTCTTTACTTTCTCTTCCTCCTCTTCTGCTAATCTGCCAGAGTCAGCCGAATTATTTGATCATGACTGACTTGCTGCAGGAGAAGGATCTTTATCATGTTCAAGAATTCCTCCTTTCTTATATTGAGGGTGAGGAAAAGATCACCATGACCACAGAATAAGGGCACATTGGGCAGTAAGCCATAAGAGGCAGTGATGTTTTATCAACTAAAACCAACAGCAATGTGGGCTCTAGTAATGCAGAGGCAGTAGATGAAATAGTGGCAGACTGTTCATGGGAGAGGGATGTGGAGATCAGCCATCTTAATCCATCTGGTGGTAGTGCCCTTAAAGGTATAGACCACTGCTATCCCGAGAGCTTGTCCACAGAGCTGTGCAATCTGGGCTTTTCTAGGATATCTAGCACTGCTACTGTCTGCAGCCTCTGCCTGCAGGTTATCTGACATAGTAAAAGTATCAGTCATTTGGGCACCACATGCATGGGTAAACACATAACTGCACCACAGATTACAATTACAATACATTTCAGTACAGAAGGAATGTGAGGGCCCTGCTCGTGGAGCTTGCAATCTAAAGAAAGGGGGAGGTGATACAAAAGGTGATAGCTGCGGGGGATGATCTGGTGGAGGTGATTCAAGTACAGTTCTTAGGTGTAGGTGGGGTAGGCTTCCCTGAAGAAGTGAGTTTTCATAGATCGCCTACCACCAAAGGTACCACCAGCATGTTGACCATACTGTAGGGGCTGCACCAGCAGCAGTGTGGTATCAATGATTACCTGTTCGATTATGGCACAAGGACAAGGGAAATGGTATGCTTTTCAAAGGCTCATGATTCAGGTCATGTGCAGCATATTGGCACATTTTGAAGAAGTGACTTAAATGGGGAGCTGTGTTGAAACAGGGATTAGCAACACCACCCCTACCGTGTTCCTCCTGGAGCACAACTGCATGGACCAAGCACTGGAGGCAAAGTGGCAGGAGAACTTGCTCCTGTCTCATAGCCAACAGCATCCTTTGCCTACTGTTTCCATCACTATGACTCAAAGGCAGCATGAAACAGATTACGAATACAAGGAGGAGGATTGGCATTGAGGAGGAAGAACTGGGGCAGGCTTCAAAGAGGATGTGTACCTCTCCTACTACCGTAGTACCCAAGAGTTGTACATGGCTTGGGTGAGATTGTTGAGGACATTGTTCTCTATTGCAGGCAATTTGTGTGAATGGGGTCTTTTATGGTCAAATGGCTATGCAAGGACCCCAGGATTTCTTTTATCATGGAAAGGGATCATTATTAGGTCCAAATTGCAGCATTAGGAGAAGGCACTGTGTAAAAGCCTTTTTTTTACATTTCCTGAAGGTGACAGGATCCCCTCTGATGACGAATGCGCCTCCAATCCTCTAATCCCTGAAAAGAGAAGAAGCTGTGTTTTTAAGAGTTTTTTTAAAAAAAAACAAGGCAGCTAGGCCCAGATACAGGAATCACATGCTGGCAGTGTCTTCACCATATGCTGTATATATTGTATGTGCTAAATACATTGGGTCAAGGGCTAATGTGGACACCCTCAGAAGTGAGACTGTTATGGGTTATAGGGTGTCAAGGCTGGTCCACTGCCTGGAGCTTGCAAAGAATGCGATGGAGCTTTTGACTTCCCTTACAGATGGTGTGTTGTCTGAGAAATCCTTCACAGCACCAGGAGGTTTTTTTTACAGAGAGGTGAATCTTACTGTCCCCTGACAGAGTAGAATAACTCACTTTTTAATAATTAGTCACCAATGACTACAAAATCCCTGCTGCTACTTTGGGATGAGCTTCAGGCTTGGTTGCAGTTCGTCCATTCACCTTCACCGGCTGCTTGAGTCAGAAGTCATTCATTTAGGGGTGGTTCCAATCCCCAATCTATGGTGGTGGTAAATGTTACAGTTCGTCTGTTAGGGCGTATTTACATCATATTGATGAACAAAGACATTGTTGAGATGGATATGTTTCTTGCTTACCTTAGTAAAAACCCTCTGAATTAGAGATTTAGTGGTCACATGCAATATCATTTTTTGACGTCACATTGATAAGTGAGTATGACAAGGTTATCTCAGTGAGAGCTCAGTGTCGGAGAGGGGGGATGGATGCTGCAGCCTGTGAAAGCTTTCTGTATAGCTGATGATTTTAGTGTTCAGCTATACTGAGAACACACAGATTGCAGCCATCCCCACACAGTACATCAAGCACCATCTGTCCCTGTCCCTGTCCAAGTGTCACATCAACATCTGTGCCAGTGTCACATCAACTGTGTGCCAGTGCACAAAACAACAGTCACAGTGTACTAGTGTCCAATCAACATCTGTCACAGTATACCAGTGTTACATAAACATCTGTAACAATATACCAGTGCACAAAGACACCTGCAATAGTGTTCCATTGCAACATCAACAGTTGCCAGTGGATGATCAACATCTGTCACAGTGTGCAAGTGCACAAAAACACCTGTCAGTGTACCAGTGTCTCACCAATAAATAAATTAAAAAATGTTCCTCCAGCCCCTCATGCAAAGGCGAACACAAGCATATGTAAAAGGAAATCGCACCACACATGCAAGGTATTGCTGCAAATATCAGAGCAAGAGCAATAAATCTAGCACCAGACCTCCTCCTATGTAATGCTAAACTGGAAACCTGTAAAGACTTATAAAGTGTCGCCTATGGAGATTTTTAAATATTAAAGTTTGGCGCCATTTCACAAGCGTGCACAATTTTAAACAGTGACATGTTTGGTATCTATTTACTCGGCCCAACACCATATTTTATATTTTACAAAAAAAGTGGGTATCATAGTGTGTTTGTGTGCATTACAATATAATAAAGTATATTTTGCTTTAGTGTGTAAAATTGCATTTGAAAAACCATTGCAAAAATACTGTGTGACATAAAAATTGCAAAAACCACCATTTTATTCTCTAGGTCACAGCTAGGCTCTGAAAAAGTCTCACACATGTGGTATTGCCCTATTCAGGAGGAATAGCAGAATGTGTTTTGAAGTGTATTTGCAAGTATGCCTATGCCATGAGTGGGAAATACCGTATTTTTCGCTCCATAAGACGCACCTGACCATAAGACATGCCTAGGTTTTAGAGGTGAAAAAAAAAAAAGAAAAAAAATATTTTGAAGCAATGGACTGCAGACATAGTACAGAAAATGTCTAGAGACTGCAGACACAGTACAGGAGATGACCAGAGACTGCGGACATAGTACAGGAGATGATCAGAGACTGCAGACACAGTACAGGAGATGACCAGAGCCTGCGGACTGTCAAGGTCCTACCTTTCTTGTGCATCTCCATGTGCTGGCGTCCATCTTGGGTTTCTGCAAAGCATGGTGGGAACCTTTATGCCTTCAGGCTTTTGCGGCTCCTCCTCAGAAAGGTGTGGCTGAGCACATTTAAACCTGCTGTCTGCAAGTGCCCTCCGCATTCGTGCCCTGTATGTTCCCTTGTCTCAAGCTCTTGTACTGTTCCCGTTGCTCTCCTGGTAACCGACTCGGACAAGACTATTCGCTGCTTTGACCCTTTACTTGACCTCCCATTGCTGAACCCGGCCCGTGACCTGATTATTCTTTGCCTACTGTCTAGTACTGTCTGCTCCGTTGTTATTGACCCGGCCTGTCTGACTACGCTACACATGTTCCCATCTAGCTCCCACCAGCTGTACACCATTGGCGGCAGTCGTTACCGCAGCTGGGGTCACTTGGGGGTCGCGACCTGGTCTCAGGCTGTGTCAAGTCCATCCCCACCATCAGGGGCCCTGGTGAAGGGTAGCCTGAGGCTTAGACTCCGCACCCTGAGGGACTCTGGCTGTCGTCAGTCACGGCGTGACCGTACCATAGGCCTGCCTGCCCATTCCATCATTCCTGCCGTGACACGGACACAGTAAAGGGGATAACCAGAGACTGCGGACACAGTACAGGAGATGACCAGAGACTGCTGACACAGTAGAGGAGATGACCAGAGACTGCGGACATAGTACAGGAGATGACTAGAGACTGCGGACATAGTACAGGAGATGACCAGAGACTGCGAACACAGTACAGATGACCAGAGACTGCGGACACAGTACAAGAGATGACCAGAGACTGCGGACAGTACAGGAGATGACCAGAGACTGCAGACAGTACAGAGGATGATCAGAGACTGCAGACAGTACAGGAGATGACCAGAGACTGCAGACAGTACAGGGGATGACCAAGAAACTGCAGACAGTACAGGGGATGACCAGAGACTGCAGACAGTCCAGAGACTGCGGACACAGTAAAGGGGATGAACAGAGAATGCGGTGTCGGCTGCGGAAATACCAGACCGGCTGCTCCATATTCGCTCTATAAGACGCACTGACATTTTCCTCCCTTTTTTTGGGGGAAAAAAATGCGTCTTATGGAGCGAAAAATACGGTAACTTGTTAATATGACATTTTTGTGGGAAAAAAAACTAAATTTATTTCATTTCTTAATTTTCCAAAGAATTGTGGAAAAAAATTACAACTTCAAAAAACTCGCCATGCCTCTTACTAAATACCTCATACTGTCTACTTTCCAAAAATGGGTCATTTGGGAGGTATTTGTACTTTCCTGGCATGTTATGGCCTCAAGAAATGATATAGGCCATCAGTACATCAGGTGTGATCAATTTTCAATGACTGGTACCATAGCTTGTAGACTCTATAACGTTTACACAGACCAAATGATATACAGTAATTAGAGTTAATTTTTATAGAAGAAATGTAGTAGTAAAAATTTTGATTAGCTAGGGCATATGTAATCAGGTAAGGCCCCAGGCCTGGATGGGATTCCTATTGAATTCTACTCCTGTTGTCAGGAACTTTTGGTGCCTAGGCTCATTGTTGGTCCAGTTCACCTCTTTGGCTTCCCTTCCTGACTCTCCGATGTCTGAGGCTCTTATTGTGTTCACTCATTAATGCTGATGCTAAGTTATTAGCGCAAATTTTGGCCCTTCAGCTTTCGAAGGTGATGGCTGACCTCGTGCATGTGGATCAGACCAAGTTCATGCCAGGGAAAGGCACCGACATTAATATTCATCGATTATTTCTCAACTTGTCTGCACACCATGATAATGCCGGTACTAGAGTGGTGGCCTCATTAGATGCCAAGAAGGCATTTGACTCGGTTGAATGGCCCTTCCTATGAGAAGTATTACATAGTTTTGGGTTTGGGCCTACGTTTTTAAATGGTTGGGTTTGTGCCTCCATGCTCGGGTCCAAACCAATCATAAGTTGTCTGCTTTTTTCCCCCTGGGCCAAGGCATGCATCAAGGATGCCCCTCGTCCCCAAGACTTTTTGCTCTGGCTTTGTATCTTTTGGCTATTTTAGTGTGGAACTCCGACCTGTTAAGGGCTGGAGGATTGGCCTCTTAGAGGAAAAAATTTAACTATATGCAGATGACACCCGGTTATATCTACATGGTGTGGATTCCTCCTTGCGAGCTGCCCTGGCAGTTTTCAATAAGTTTCAGCATTTCTCGAGCATTTGGATCAATTGGTTGAAGTCCATTTATTTCCCCTTAGACCCTCGGGGAAAGATTCTGCTGCCCCTACCCCCCTTCAGTGGGTTGCAGAATTCAAATACCTGGGAATCAGGGTGACAGTAGACCCTGGGAAGTTTCATGCTCCTAACATCAGCCCTCTCTAAGCTCAGTTACAGGTTACATGCGCCTCTTGGGCCTGTTTGCCATAAAATTTACTGGGTTGTATTAACATACTTAAAATTATTTTTCTCCCCAAGTTTAATTATATCTTTCAAAATCGTCCTATTTGGTTAGGAGCTTCCCTGTTTAGGGATATTGACCATTGTGTGGTGTTCTTTCTATGGGGCAGATCCACCCCCCACCTGGCAAAATCCATACTTCACCTTTTGGTGGAGTTTGGTGGTCTGGCGCTCCCTGATTTTCATCCATGTTACTGGCAGGCTGTCTTAGTCACAGTCAGATGGTGGTTTTTGAGATCAAGGGAAAATGCCGCAGTCTGTTTTGAAGCCGCACTGTTGGGTTCAGGGGCGGACTGACCATTTGGAAACTCGGGCACTGCCCGAGGGCCCGGGGTCAGTAGGGGGCCCCATGAGATGCCCCTGGTACCTTCTTCATAGGCTTTTTTGAGTTTGGGCAAGGACACAGGGGCCCCATGATCCCCTATTGCCAGGGGGCCCCATGAGTTGTCAGTCCGCCCCTGGTTGGGTTCCCTCATGGAGCTGGCCAATTTAGTGTACGGGGTCCTCAGGCTTATTCCTACCTCCCTTTCCCCACTAAAACCACACGTGGAATGTGGCTAGTGCATGCATTATTCAACCTAATCAATGGTCTTCTTACCATCCTCTTTTGGGCAATCCCTCCTTGCCACACTATGGGCTCATCCCAGACCCATCAGTCTGGGCCTGTCACGGTATCAAAATCCTTAGAGATATTATGCCCTCTGGGGTATTCTTGTCCTTCCAGGAGTTTTCTGGTAGGTTCCGTTTGCCCCACTGGATGTACGTTTGCTACTGCCAGCTGAGACATGCAACTAGATCCCAGTTTCCTGAACTACCTGTATTGGATACTGACACATGTGAGGATCTCCTTTCACAGGAGTCTCTCTCTAAGCCACTATGCTGCTGCTTTACTCAGGGTAAGTTCCCCTAAAATAGATACACTCTGGGAATATTGGAGGACTGACATCCCAACTTTGGATAAGGAGTCCTGAGAGGAGAGCTTTGAGCATAGTTCCAAGTTGGTCGTTTCCTAGAGGGACAAATTGATCCAAACCAAGTTTCTGCATAGGGTTTATTATACGCCTCAGAGGTTGCACAGAGTCTAATCACAGAGATCCCTAGACTGCACTAAGTGTCTCATGTCTGTGGGTACTTTCCTTCATATGTTTTGGTCCTGTCCCAGGATAGTACAGTTTTGGACTGAAGTGTTTGACTTCACTGAGCAAAGTCGCAAAATCGTTTTCAGTGCCTGATGACGAATTTCCCCAGGAATCATTATCACTCAATTCTGCAAGTGGTTCTAATTTACTATCGCTGTTCTCTAGCTGGTCTAAAACCACTTTTGACCTAAAGGGACACTTTTTGGACGCCATGGACATTTCACAGTTCCCAGGCAGAAAGAACAGTAAAAATGCAGACAAGGCACAGGACAAAACACTAGGGACAAAATGAAAGAAAGAAACTGCAACTACTTGTTAGCACCCTTTGGTTTATTTATTGATTTTGCTTCTGCTTGATCCCTAACTGCTACACCTGCTACTGCATCCCAGCTTGCTCACTTCCTGGTGGTGTTATCCTGTGGACTGCGGCCTTGCACTAGCATGCAGAAAAATCCATCTCCACCATCAGGAGCTTTGGTGAGGACCAGTTAACGCTTAGATCCTGCACGTCTGGCGAGCCCACATAACCCGCATAGGGAATCTGCTTTTGTATTTACCGTGCTGGTTTATGTGTTAGTCTTTCCACTGCTATAGTCACTGGCATCTGAGATTGACCCCTAATAATGACAGGTATATAGTATTCCTACTCATTCACCAAAATAAGTCAGTGATAAATAAACATATACACATTTTTTTGACTAGTCCAGTAAAAAAACAATCCACCATCAATCAAGATGCCTGATGGCCTCTGACCATATATTACATCTTCCAGAGACCAACAAAAAAATAAAAATAAGTGCTGTGCTATTTGTGTACACTACAACGAAACAAATCACATATAAATAAGTGACATAAAACACAATGTGCAGATGAATCAAACAATATTTACAAATAAAGAGTGAAAGTGTACATAGGAAACTCTTCTATATCAAATATATAAATACTAATGAAAATAGAATAATCCTCTAAAGTGCTAACAGAGTTCCTGTAATCATATGTTTCAAAAGTGAAAGTCCATTATACAGTATTCCTTACCAATTGGCTTGCATCAACTTGTTATTACACAGTCTTCCTGTGGCACCAATCTGCTCTCACCTTGATAGTGTGACCTGCATGTATGTAAGGTCAATAAACGCATGTATTGTTTCCAGCAGGTATTTCTCAATCCGCATAACAAAAATATGAACTGATATACACAGATAGGAAAAAAATTCATGACTACTGACAGGTAAAGTGAATAGCGCTGATTATCTCATTATAATGGCATCTGAAAGTGGGGGGATATATTAGGCAGTAAGTGTGTATGTTGTGCCTGAAGCAGATTTGCCTGAAGTTGAGGAAATGTGTCAAAACATGCAGTTTATCACAGTTTATTGATTATGGAGCTGCAAAGCCACATATCGGTCAGGGTACCCATACTGACCTGTGTTCACTACCGAAAGCACCTACAATGGCCATGTGAGCATCAGAGCTGGATTGTGTGAGCAATGGAAGAAGATGGCATGATCTGATGAACCATACTTTCTTTTACATCATGTAGATGGTAAGGTGTGCGTGGTGCTTACCTAAGAGGTGGAACCAGAATGCACTATGGGAGAGACTGGTGGAGGCAGTGTGATCCTTTGGGAAATGTTCTGCTGGGAAACCTTGGGTTCTGTCATCCATGTGGGTTTTACAGAGCAAAGCATCTTGCAACACTGCAAAAATGGTTCAAGAATAGTTTGAAGAACACAGCAAGTTTAAGGTGTTGACTTGTCTTCAAACTTTCAAGTCTTAATCCAATTGAACATCTGTGGGATGTGATGGATAAACAAGTCTGATCTATGGTGGCCCTTTCAGAGTTCAGCTCTTTGGACGTACTATGTGCAGAGCTCCTTCCTTCCAGCTGGTGCCCCCCCCTTCCAGTGGTTCCTGGGATCTCAGCTCTTACCAGAGCCTGGGAACACAACTACTAGCTAGGGGAAGGAGTGTGCTGTGAGAAAAATCTATGCCCGATCTCATACAAACATTGAAACTGGAAGTGGTGTCACTTTTGGTTTCAGATGCACCCTTTTCTGGCCAATACAGCCAGGGGACACATTTAACCAAGCCAATCTGTGCGTGGTTAGATGGTGTGAAGGGCAGGGGAGACATTGAGGTCTATTAGACCCCTAATGTCTCAATAAACCTGTCACCTGCCCAATGCTAACACATAGGGGTGTATTAACCCCTTGTGATAACAATCAAGTAAAAGTAAAAAAAAGAGAAAAGAAAAAAGTTTTAAAAATTAAAATTATAATAAGATATATTAAAATAAAAAAAAATTGCCATAACCCCTGTTGTTCCCCACGCACTTGAGCAAACACAAGCCCAGGGTGTGCACACGTATGTGATCCACG